CGTGTCAGGGGCGGAAAATGGCCGTGGACCACGTGTCAGGGGCGGAAAATGGCCGCGGACCATGTGTCGGGCGGAAAATTGCTTTGGACCATGTGTCACGGGAGGGAAAATGGCCGCGGATCCGGTTCGCAACTCGAGGTGGTTCGCAACACGAGGTAAATTTTTGGGGCTGGAGCTGGTCGTAACACGAAAAATTCATAAGCAGAGGCGTTCGTAACTCGAGGTACCACTGTACCTATAAAGAAGTAGGAATGTGAGCCAGTTATAGTGACATCTGCATAACAGAAGGCAAGATGTACAATTATTAAGTTTGTGCAGAGAGTTTTACACTCCTTAATCTTATAGCTTTCAAGTAATTCTGCAAGAATTTTTAAGGCTGTGTTTCTTGAGTAACATAACAACACAGGCTACCTTACACTAAGGAACACCATTAGTCTATCCAGTTCATACATAGTCAGTTTATATTACTAAGCAGCAACTCTACAGTATTTTAGACAGGAATTGTTTCCAGACCTACTCAGAGACAACATTAGCTATACACACACACATCTCCTGAATCCTTATTGGATACCATATTAAAATACGTAAAGGTTATTGCAACACAACATGGGATTTATTTGTACAATGAAAAACAAGTGAACCAAGAATCTGAGCATAACTAAAATAATCTGCTGAATCTTGGGCCAGTTTAAAAGGTTTTGATAAAACTTCCTAATCAGCTATTGTATTTAATAAAAAGAAAAAAGATACTGCTATTCCATTTTATTTTTTATTTTAACATACTGTAAAAATTAATGATACTATATAATAAAAATTCTGATGTAGGTCTACAGACAAGACAACACAGGAGTACATAAATGCTTCAAGCATGGAACGGGAATGTATCTTTAAACAAAAACAGAGCCACCATTTAGGCTTCATGCCATATAATTTATACTAAGTTCATACTGAGTATGAAAATAACAGTTACACTAAATTATTCCGACTATGACATTTCTTCAGGATACATTACAAATTAAAAGCTAGAACGCAGACTTCCTTTTGTATTTTTGACTAGCTGGAGTGGGAAAGAACATGAAGACCTCAATTCAGGTCAAGTGATATGACTAAAAAGCAACATAAAGCACATTTAATTTGGAAAATATCCAAACCAACATTGTGGAACTTACTTCTGGGTGTATACACAAACAACTGATTTGTAAATTATAAAACAATAAAACAAATTCTGCACATCCAAACAATTCTTATTTTAAACCAGTCAAAATTTAATGTAGCTGGATTGGGCCTAAAATCTAATCCACATAAAATTGCATGGAAGAGAAACTGACCAAAAATTAATAATTGCTGTAAATTGCTGTAATTGCTAAAATTACCTGTAAAAAAAAAAAAACTGTTTCTGGCACGGCACCATGCAACTAGCTAGCATGCATCCAGTAATGTACATAACATATTTTTAACAAATAGAAAATAAAAATTCAGTTAGCTTGCATTAAGGTTTTTGATGAGGCATGCAGCAAACACAGTGCAGTTAATACTTCATGCAAACTTTAGCATGGCTATAACTTTACATTCCTTCACATGCTAAGAAAAAAAAGATGAGTTATTCATCCCTACTCAGAGAAAAAAACATCTAAACGTAGTTTCTTTTCTATCTAATGAATAAAGTAGATCCTAAATTTCAAGCCCATTCACACTGTATAGGAGAAGTTACTTAATTGTATAGTTTATCATATACAACCATATTCATACCAAATAGTTTGGGTATCTTCATCGACTGGTAATGGGGATTCACTATCATTAGGGTCTGTACGCACGAGGATACCAAGTTTACTGCTATTTTGTGTGACATCTACCTTTTTATTATCAGATTCCTGATTTTCAAAAGGTAGTTTGTGATCCTTCTGTGGCAATTTCACCAATGAATCAAATGTTTTAGCTGTTCTGGAGAAAGATGTTTGGGGCAATCCGCTAACATTACAGACTAATTCAGTATTAAGTGCCAAAAATGGCCTGGAAAAATGACCTGAAGATAATTTATTGATAATATCTGGTGATATGCCTACTTTATCACTATACACATTACTAAGAGAAAATGTTTTAGCAATGAATTTGGTCTTCCTCCTGGAATTGCTATGCCTTTCAGATATATTCAAACTATCAGGAGTAGTAATATTAGCCAAGTCATTTTCTGATACAGTAACTGCATTATCATGAGTATAATAAAAAATAGAAGATTGTTGTTGAGGATTGTACTCACTCGAAGATGTTATAACACTTTGGTCAGCTGTAGCTGGAGTTGGATCAACAAATATCGGCTGCCTAGTGTCCTTAGATAAAAAATCATGGATACTTGTCCTCCGAGTAGTTCCTTCTGCTGTTGAAATCACACTGCTTGCACGAGGTAAAGTAGCATAAGGATTGCAGTCTTTTGATTGTCGTTGTGACTGGACATTTTCTTTAACAGACCTGGCCCTCCCCTTAGTGCCTGCAGCATATGTCTTTGAAGAGTTCAGATCTTTAGAATCTTCTGTTCTATTTAAACTGAGCCTTGCAAGAGGTTCTTGCTTACTTAACTTTCCATCAGATAATTCTGTTGTATTTTTTACACTCTGCGATCTGACAATACCACTAATGCCTGATGTCTGTTTGCTTAGCTTCTCTCTTCCTGTTAATTCAACATTTTCAGAAAAAAATTTCATTACTTCATCCAAAAGATTATCTTTGCTTGAAGACTTCAGCTGCAAAAATAGATAAAGAGAATGAATATAAAAAACAGTTTCCCCATCAAATTTATACCAATCCACAGACTGAAAAATGAACAATCCTATCTTCACATTCTGATTTCTCTCAACATTTCCACTTGCTTCAAAATTAATTCAAGTACAACACAAAGATCACAAAACTCAATTACTGATTATTATTTCACTGTCCTACCTCTCTCATATTCTCTCCAACTGACTGAAAATTTCCTTAACAACCTGAATATCATGTATAAGAGAACTTTAAAAGCATTGTGTCAGCTTCCAGATTTAGAATTTCTAAGCCCTGGGGAAAAACATCCAAGATAGAAAAATAAAGACTGCCTTTCCTTTTCAAAAAATTATTGGAAATCTCTTTGGAAGAGTAAATCACCTGAATACAAATGTATAAGCAGTCCTTGCTTAACACACATTCATTCAGCAACTGTTTGAAGTTCCGATGGTACTGAGAAAATGGTAGTTGCAGCCAGTCCTTGAAGTTAAAGCCATTGCAGTGCCCCCACGATCATGTGATCAAAATTCAGGCACTTGGCAGCCCACCTGCATTTATGATTGCAGGGTGGGCTCCAACTCCCCCACCCACCTATCTCTGCTTTTTTGGCCACCCTGCACTCCATGCTGCACCCCCGCCGCCCTGCACTCTGCCACTCGTGCGGCCCCAGCTGACTTGCCATCTTCTTCCTGCTGCTGATGAGGCGCAGCCTCAGGTGGCCAGCAGCAGCCTCGCAAAGGGCCAGGCTGGGCGTACCTTGTCAGCAGAGGAAGAAGACGGCGAAGGTCAGCTTGGGGCAGCGGGGGTGGTGGCAGAGTGCAGGGTGACGGGGCTGAAGGGTAGCAGGGGTGGCAAGGGCAGAGGGGCAGTGGAGTGCAGGGTGGCCAAAAGGGCACAAATGGGGGAAGATAGGCAGGTGGTGGGTGTTGAAGTGGAGGTGAGCACGGAGGGGCAGGAGAAGTATGAGGTCCTTGCCTAACGACAGCTGCAACCAGAACTACCAAAACTGCCATTGCTAAGCAGTATGGTCACGTGATGTTTCACCTAATTCTGGTCCCAATTACGGTTGTTAAGAGAGAACTACCTGTACCTGCAAAACTAATTTCAGAGGAACTATGACATATTCTAAAAAAGTTTCCTCTAATGCTTAACTACAAAGTACTGTTGCCAGTAAGTGAGCTGAGAAAATTAGTGAACTTCTATTTTAAAAAACCTGAAAAAGCACAGGGTAAACTGTTAATTCTAAATTGCCAAATTGATCTATTTACTTTTGGAAAGCTATTTTATGCTCAAAAAGGCAAACAAGACTGAGACACCCTGACTTAAAAAATAAACACAGAAGTTACAATTTTTAATAAAGCCAATTACAAAGAGATTTCATTTAACCAGCATGCTAGTAACCACTCTTCATTTTCTAGAATTACATACCTGGGAAGCCAGTTAACACTGCAAACAAATGCTAGAATGCTTCCATACATATATATTACCCAGCCAAGCAAATATTAGTATTTAGAGTTTGGTTTTTAAGAGGAAAAAGAACTTGACTGCAGAATTGAAGTCAGAAACACACAAAAATGTTAAATGTCTATAAATATTGTACATTAGAGTACAACAAAGGGGAAGTTAGAAACTAATATTTAACTATAATGTTTTTACTAATTTGTCTTTTTTGTATTCTTAAACAAATTGCGATTTTGGCACTTAGCTCAGATATTCAAATTGTTACTTACATTGTTGAAATAATTTAATGTACTTTGTTTTTTATGTTTAATTTCACATCAACTGAGCACTAACTGTACAATCTTGGTAATTCCTTTGTCCACATATATCAATTATTTGTATTTATCAATTATTTTGTTGTTTTTTCTTCTTTTGCTTGCTTGTTCATCTTTTTCCTTTTTTCTTTTAAAAAATGGTTAATAAGTTAAAAAAAAGAAAAAGAAAAAAGAAAAATCCTAAATTAAAAAAAAAATCAGAAAACCCTAAAAACAAAACTGGAACTGAAACTACAGATATTCTTATTAGGTATAATTTTAAAAAAAATGAAAATATCACAATTTACTAAGTTATATGTTGACAGCTGCAGAACAATTTTGGCGCAACATTGGAAAAAAGGAACCTTGCAAATTTTATCAAATTCGGTGGCCAAAATTGAAGAATATGTAGCAATGGCAAAATTGACAGTATATATCCATAATAGAAGTCTAACCAAATTTAAGCAAGAATCCCAAATATACTACACGTTACACAGCAAGGCAAATTTAGATAAATTTAAATTATGGTTTTTAGGAAGAAAGTTATGAGATCAATAAAAAAATAATAGATGAGAAGGTTTAAACAGATACTAGCAATAATCTTCAATATGTAATGTAAAGAATAAACATCTGGGTTGTGCTCAGCAGTTGGGGAAATAAATGGAAGAGAAGGGGAGAATGTGTTACTAGAAAATTTTCCCATAAAGTTTTTATTTGTTTTATTTAGTAGTTGTTTCTTTTTGTTTTTTTCAACTGTTACTATCCAATCTAGACTTTCTTTCCATTGTATTTCATCCTTCTAATAATATAAATATCTTTAAAACATGCTGGAAGTTTAATTTGGATAACAAACTTAATTACTGTAAAAAGATTTCTGAAGCTGAATATTTTAATGCTTTAGAACTTGTTAATATTAACAACAATATCCAATGGTTTCCCTGATACAAAAAATAGACAGCAGATGATTTTCCATCAGTTCAGTTGATCATCCATGAATCCATGTTATATGCCTATGCAAAAGGTATCTACCAAAAAGATGGAGCCCTGCATAGTCATGCATGGTATACAAGCTTGGCAGGACACCTACCAAGAATTATGTAAGCTCTAGAAGATTCTGAGTGGGCATATAACATGACTCTTAATTCTTGAAATCAACCAACAGAACCAAGAAGGAACACTGAAGTCACCCAATACCAAGTGTGATAGCAGTGGAAATATCCTGATGATTACTCAAAGAACTCTGGAATCAGCTATGTGGCAGGTGAATTAAACTCCCATTTAGCAAATTATGTTACTTCTGCCTGAAAAAACTAGGAGATCTGACATTTGTCATCTGGTAAATAGGACAAGTACAGAAATATTCCATAAAAAGTTATAACACTGACATGCATGCCTGGTCATTGGCTATGTAGAGATAGAAAGCACTCCCAAACAACGCAGCATATGACCAAGACTGTCCAACTTCCTGCCCTCCTTATCCATAGGTGTAGAGTGTTGCCAACAATGGGCACATGACAGACACCTCCACTATAATGGAGTTTCGAGGTGAATATTGAAATAAGAATAGGTAGCCTTCCTAAAGACATTCTCCAAGTGACAAATAATTGATGGCATAGTGGCTTGTTTATCCTAGGAATCTCTCAAGGTTTTCTGCAAGACTGGGAACAAGAAAACTAGGACTGGAGAATTTATAGTAGTTGGCAAACCAGATCCTTGGTAACATGAGATGGTTCTTTGAACCTTTACATCAAGAAATTATGTCATGCCATGAGGCCCAAAGAAACTGAACATTAGTGAGAAGTTATAGAAAAAATTGAAAACTAGTGAGAAGTTACAGAAATTATAGTAACTGGGAAATTTCCCCAAGGCAGTGGGTTGTCCCCAAGATGACCAGTTTCAATCTCACAATTTTGTGATGGAAGTGGTGGAGAGTCCTAGTCTGGGCCTTCTCTCTGTGCAGCAAGGTAGCTTGGAGAAAGATTTCAGAGAAGATCTGTCATATTTGTCTCCAGAATTGAGTCCTGAACCTGAGGGGAATCCGAAGAGACTAAATGGACAAATGGGAACTTGCTGAAGAAGAGATGAAAAAATTCCCAGACAAATTCTAGGACCTGGGAGGAGTTTTGGAGGAACTTTAAAGTCCTATGGTACCTTCAGAATTTACTACTTTAATAGTTCATTCCTAAAAAGCAGAGTGCACACGGGATTAATGATTGTGACAAGCCTATTTTATTTAGGTTGTAATATGGCAAAATTGCTGAAAAAATTATTTAGGGTTTGAGAACAACTATCCAGTTGCAAAAGATCTGAGGTTAATTCTCCATAGGCTTCTTCAACTTTACCATGTGTAATGACGTATCTTCTTTTTACAGATATGATCGTTAAGAGAATGTCCCTTTTTGAACTAAGCATCTCAGCTATTACTTTCCTACTCAGTGTGGTAAGTTATTTTCTTCAAATTCCTAATAAATAATGAATGCTAGTTCTGAGATTTAAAATTAGTTGTTTTTCTTTACCTGGACTTCAAATCACAGTGTCATGACCTACCTGAACCCATATTATGTTTATTCAGGCTTAAGTTATGTCTCTTAAAATTAAGTAATTTTTTACATACCTCAGCCGAAGTAACTTTATTACTTTCTTCCAGAAACTGCTGCAAAGTAACCATTTCACTTCCAGGGGATTCAGTTTTAATTCTCCACAGTCCTTGTTTATCCATTTTTTCTGACATTGTATGATGAAGCAGGGGACTAGACTTAGCGTGGCTTTTCAGATACTGTATAGGGCTGCTGCTACTGCTGGACCATGCTTCGTGTTCATGAAGTAGGCTAAATTCTCCACTACTGTGGCTTTGAGGCCTGCTTTGGTTGTTACTTGCACCTGCTTTTATGGTAAACAGCATTGATATTTTTCTTAGGTAAAATAAATTACAAACTCTTCAACAAGTACATTTGGAATGAGATTAAATACATTGCTAGATGTTTTAAAAAACACTGAAATATCAATTGCTGTAAAATACTTAAATATCTATTAAGAAATTATATGAGAAATAAAACTTATTCCCTTAATTTTACCCTTTATGGTTCTTCAGCATGACATCTAATGTTTCATTTAAAAAGTTTCAACTTCAACTCTCTTTTAAAAGTATCAGTTTCCTGTTTTCTATATGTACACATACCCACCCACCTTTTCAGCAACCCAGATCATAGAATCATAGAGATAAATATTACCATCTGCTACTATCTTTTATAATATGTTATAAAAGCAATGAAACAATTGAAGCACAAAAAGTGTATTTTCACGCTAATCTATAAATATTTTGCTGAAAAGATTTATTTAAAAATACATTGCTCTTTATATATAGTCTCAATTTCTGTGAATATGATTTGAAGAAATATCACATTGTGCACAAAATAATAACTGAAGAAATGCCAATCTCTCTTTTTTAGAGTTTCTTCAATCCAAGGCAATTAACTGGAAAATAGTCTTTGTAATATTTTGAATAATAATTTAAAAAAACCCTAAGCAATATATACTTTTAGAACACAACCAGTATATACTTAACTGACCGAATATTTCTGGAGGGAATTATTTATATTGGAAAAATACAAATGCTCAAAAAGTTACAAAATCCAGAAACCCAGTAAAATTAATGAAATTAATTCATGATGAGGCAGTGATTGTTGGTTGTGTTTGATCTTGCTTTAAACACAGATATGTTTTACAACAAAAGAACAAGCTAAGTAGCCAGACTGGTGTGCTTTTGGGGCTTGGACTAGGAGACAGTGGACCCCTCACCTGCCTTTTTGTTACACTTATTTGCATAGACCCCACTTTAGAGATATCTAAATATTCTTTATACTCTCCTTTTCTGAACCTTTATTCTCATGAGATCTCTCTTCTTTTCTTCTCAGCCTTCTCTATCCAGTTATGTCTGCATTTTTCTTTGCTACGCTCCTATGAATTCTCATTATTTCCTTTTCTTTTTTTCCCTTGTTTGCCCACTATTAACAGCAATACAGTGAGTAGAGACAGCAGAATTGCAAGTATCTATTATATTTGTTTACCACACACTCCCAGCAAAGCCAGCTATTTGAAAGCTTTATTTTAAAAAGAATGAAATGGTTAAAATTATCACAGTGAAAATCTCTTCATGCTATGAATATCACCCATTCCTGCTTTATAATATAAAGAATGAAGCATATGTTCATTTTGCCTAGAAGCATACCTTTGACTTCATGGAGTGAAGCATTATTGTTGCTATTGCTAGTTGATGTTCTGCCACTATCAAGGCTGGCTGGTCTGGAAGCTAAATGAAAAAGAATCAGTAGATAGCATAAAGCATCTATCAGAGCAGATTATACTGTACATGAGATATTTCATTCACAGAAATGAATGCAGGATCCCACAATTAATCTGACCCTGTCCATGAAGGTAAGAACCAGCAGCCTGAATTGCAACCAAGAGAGCACTGGTAACCAGTGCAACTCACAGAGCAGAGGTATTATGTGGGTATATCAGGGTACACCTATAAGTAACCATGCTGCTGCATTCTGGATGAGCTGATGCTTCCAAGTGGTTACCAAGGACGACGTCATGTAGACTGCATTGCAGTAATGTGAGGTGGCTAAGTGACTGTGAGCAAGGCCTACTGATCCAGGAGTGGGTGCAACTGACACACAAAATGGAGGTATGCAAAGGCCCTCTGAGTCACAGCTGCTGCATGTCTAGCAGGATCTCCAAATTATGAACCAGGTCTGTTTATGGCAGTGCAACCTCATCCAGAACCAAAGATGGAAAATCCCTGGATCTAGGGGGTCCTGCAATCCATAGCCATTTTCGCTTATGAGGTTAAATTTGTCCCTCATTCAGACGCCTACATCCTCCAGACACTGAGACAGAACTTCAACAGAATTCCTTGGAGGGCCCAGGGTTGAGATGTATAATTGGGTACCATCAGTACACTGATGATATCTAACCCTGTGGCAATGGATGACCTCATCTAGTGGTTTCACATAGAAGTTAAACAGGAGTGGGAGAGCAATGTTGGACGTGTATGGGCAAGACATGAGAATCTGTAATTAACAATCCAGAGGACCAAATGCCTCAAGAATCCCAGGCAAAAGCTGACCTGTGAGAGAAGAAGACTGGAGAGGGGAAAAGTCTTGTCATTTCCCCTTTGTTATGAAGTGTCCATTAAGAGTGGTGATGGCTACTGGAGCCAGAGAAAGAAGGAGCTGGAAAGCATCTGTGTGGAATCCACAACAGGCCATGACACAGTAAAAAAGAGAACCTCGAGAGATTTCTGCATTCACCCAGAAGTGAGTTCCCACAGAGGCCATTGGGAGGAGGTTGAAGGGAGGAAAGGAATCAGTGAGTGCAAAATAAACAAAACTTCTCATTTCAGAAGACAATAGGGGGAGACACAAGCCAATGTTAGCAGTGAGAAAGTATTATTAATTTCAACACTGAATGTAATCACTTTAGCATTCAGAATACTCATTAAGAAGTTTCTACAGGAGACTGCACTTCAGGAACTCATGTAAAAAAGCACTGCACACTCACAACTATTGTGAAAATAAGGAACAAAGATTATATTGTAAATAGTTTTGTATTCAAAGGAGTTCCTCTGTCAAAAGTGTAAGCATTTATATTGCCTGCGAATATAACACCATCTTGAATAAACATCACCCTGCAAAACCCTCCCCCAATTTTTGACAAATCGGTGGCAGATGTGTGTTGGTATTAAAATCCCTGGCATTGCACAAACACTGAAAAAGTGCACCAATTTACCATTTACTGTAGAAACATGAATTTGGCCCTAATACTTCTAAAACAATACCCCTAAAACAGGAAGAGATGTTTCCAGGCAACTCAAAAAAAGTACACTACAGCAGTAAAAAAGATATGAAACAAGAGAAATAGAATGCATCTTTAGAATTGAAAAACTGGTTTTAAAAAATAGCATGCAGAAACATGCAGAAAATTAGTTTTGTTTAAGGCATTTACAATAGATTTCACATGGATACAACCTATGCAGAAATGCCACCAATAGAAAAAACAAAAACACTCTTACACTTAACATCATCTACTCCTAAACAATGTAAGTATAGCGGCAGTATTAATATGCTTTAAAATAATGTATTGTTTTGATTTAAATTAATTTTGAATCATTGGTTCAAATTATTTTTAAATTTCATGTAGCTGTAACTTCTATTTCAGTATTCTCTGGTTATACCTAAGCTGAAATTTGATAAAGAAATATATTAATGAATAAATGAACACATTTTGAGAAACAGATTGCCTAAATAATTCTCAGCACTAAACTCTGATACTTAGAATTGAAGGAGAACTGAAAAAATGATCTTGTTTACATCTACCTTGCACTCAGTCATTTGCTTTATTTAAACAAGATATCAGCATTAAGGAAATGGGGAAGAATCCTATTACATTAAATGGAAAAAAAGATTGAGATGAGATGAGATGAGATGAGTTGAGATGAGATGAGATGAGATGCAAGGTTGAAAGAAGAGAGAAAAACAGAGACTGACAACATGCTCACTTGCAATCCTGGTTAATTGTTTTTGGTTAAACTTTATCAATATTCCCATAACCAGCACTCGTTTAAAAAACAAATCTTACCTTGAATTCTTGAACCTGTACTAGAATCATCACTAATTCCTTGTGGACTTACATCTTCAAAAGATGTTGTATCTAGATGGGAAAAAAAATCAAAACCTTAATATTAGTTTATCATCTAGAAAATGCTATGAAATAGTTTTTCCTGCCAATAAATTCATGTTCTCACAAAGAGTAAGTCAGAAATACAGAACTTTTCCCCACTACATAAATCTGCAATACAAATATTTGCTGGAAAATCATATGAAATATTAAGAACGAATAGATTCCAATACCACTAGTGTTGCTAACACAGCCACACCACACTGAAAAGATTCTACCTATACCTTTATTATTAAGCAACTGCTTGGATCTCAAGCCTGCAGCAGAGTTGACAGTTGCAAAGTTGATGGATGTAGTAGAGAAGGCCATAGATCCCAATTCTTTTCTCCTTTTACCCGTAGATATATCATCAGGACCTTCCAGATGCTCAGAACTACCTATCCATTGTCCTCCTGCTAAGACCATGGACTGCATCAGGTCATTCATTGCTGGGATGCAAATGAAAGCAAATGAATCAGCGTGATTCAATGATTTTTTCTTTTTTTGCATTGTAAAATGCTTCACATTATCTCTAACCATCATACTAAAAGCTACAATCCACGTTCATATATGTACAACATGCATTTGGCTGAATGAATGAAAAATGTTAAAAAGCAAGACTTTCTTGTAGAGATGATTGTAAATGTTTTAACTGTCATGCTTATGCTGGAATGCTATATAAATATAAGTTAGAAGCTCTGATAGGTTTTGTAATGGTAAATGGAATGAACAGGGTAAGATGAGCAGAAGTGCTTATATAAAGTCAGTGTTGGCAATGATAAGGGGCCCTTTACTGTGCAGGCTTCTGCAGGGATAGACAATTGTGCATGACACTAGAGATAAGGTTCTGAATTAAATATACTCTATAACAGCTCAGGTAGTCCTCGACTTACAACCATTCAGCGACCATTTGAAGTTACAGTGGTGCCGAGCGAAGGGACTTATGACCTGAGACCAAAGTTACAGCTGTTGCAGCGCCCCCGCAGCCACATGATCTAAATTTGGGCACTTGGCAGCTTGCCCACACTTACGGCTGCAGGGGTACTTCAACTCCTCCCACCCGCCTGTCTCCCCCGCATCTATGCCTTTTGGCCCCTTGCTGCCCTGCACTCCACTGCCCCAGCTGACCTTTGCCATCTTTTTGCTCCCACTGCTGCATGACTGACCTGGCTGCTGGGACAGGCTGGAGCTGGGCTTTGTGCTGTGAAAAAAAAAAAGCAGAAAGCGGCCCCAGAGCCACAGCACAGCGCAGAGACCAGCCCCAGCTCGGCCCAGGACCATAGCACAAAGGGGCTTTTGGGCGTGCTGTTGCCCCGGGGCTGCTTTCTACCTTTTTTCCCATAGCACAAAGCCCAGCTCCATCCCGGTCTAGTAGCCAGGCTGGGCATGCCTTGTCACCAGCAGGAACAAGAACATGGAAAAGGTCAGCTGGGGTGGTGGAGCACAGGGTGGGAGCGGTCTAGGAGTGCCGGGTGGCAAGGGCGACTGCAGGTAGGACTGGGGCATCTGCGGCTTCCCAGGACATGGCAAGCAGCCCCAGAGCCACACAGTTCTGGGGCTGCTTTCCCCCCCACAAGGCAAGGCGCAGGGCTGTCAAAAGGGCAGAGATGGGGAGGGAGATAGGCAGGTGGGGCAGTCCCTTACCTTACTGAGGCTCAGGGCTGGGAAGGACCAAGCCCAGAATGAGTTGGATTAGGGTGGGTACTTGCTTAACAACCCACAGTTCTTGGTTAACAATGGCAACTAGGACTGCTAAGATTGACGTCGCTAAGCAATGCAGTCACATGTCTTGCTTTATGACTGCATCACTTAGTGACAGAAATTCCAGTCCCAATTGTGGTCATAAGTCAAGGACTACTTGTATACTACATCCTAAAATTAAAAATAATATATTACAATGGCAAAAACTTGCCTCCCTGTTCCCCACTTTAAGACACTTGTAAAAGACAAGCAGGCTACTGTTTTTGTTTGGACAGGTTTTAGAAAGAA